CCCCCCCCATCACTCTTTAAATCAGACATGGGTACTAGGTCTCTGGTCAGTGTGTAAGAAAACACGGCTTCTTCCCCTTTCCAAACTCCCTCATCTGTTAATCCCTGGGAGATTCTGGGTACTAGACTTTAGGACTCTGAGCACATATAATCAAAGGCAAGATAGGCTTATATACCATTTAAGAGGACATGCAAGTCACTGCTCTACTCAGAAACTTTCAGGGGTTCTCAATTATTTTTTGCTTCAGATCTAAACCCCTGAGCATGAATTCCATTCAAAGCCCCTTTGTGTTAGTTTGCTTCCTGTCTTCACCTCCACTGTGCACATCTCATTGCTTCTAATTCCTATGACTTCCTGGCTTTGCTTTTAGCACCAAACCCATCCCCTGTTCCCTATGCCTTGGGCGTAACTCACCTCTCCTGTGGCCTTCCTTTACACAAATCATTACATGGTTTGAGTTGGCTTTCCTACTTATCTCATTAAGTCAATGTCTCCCTCTCTGATCTGGACTGGGTAGAAGTACATCTTAGGAGGGGGCTTGGGTTGGGAATGGGAAGATCAGATGAAAGGGGATTTGAACACCTTGGAGGATACTGATGGCTGAAGGTCGAGCAGGGGAGGAGAGAATTGAAGTCACCCAAAGTGCCCAGTAAAGGCCCATGAAGTCCTGGGCATAGAATCATAGCATATTAGAGCTGAAAGGACTCTTCAAGCTCAATCCCTGCCCCTCATTTAACAGATGAGGAAACTGAGGCCTAGATAAATTAAATTATTTATCTAAGGTCACAAGTCAGTTGAGTATCCTCCTGGCAAATGAACAGTTACTATAGGGTCACGAGAATATATTGGGGGAGGGGAGTAGAGGATTGGAGGTGGGGAAGGAGGGAAACTTGTCTTTGAAACATCTGTATGATCTAAGGGTTTATCTCAAATTCCTACTTATTCTGTCTTGCTTCTTTGACAGCCATCCCTGCCAGGGTTGTGAATCCTCTGGCTGAAACTCGATGTGAGGTGCAGGAAGATGCTGTATTTGAATGCACCCTCTCTAATCCCTGCCCACATGCCTTCTGGCAGTTTCAACACCGGCCCCTCCTGCCCAGTGACAAGTATGAGGTGTCTGTATCTCCTGATGGCCTGACCCACCGGCTGGTGGTGAGAGGGGCCCAGCATTCGGACATGGGCCTTTACTCTCTTAGCACTGGCCTCCACTCTTCTCGAGCTTGGTTGCTGGTAGAAGGTGAGACTACCAAAGTTGGGTTGTACAGGCTCCTGTTGATATCTTATTTGCCTTTAGAGAGATCCAATTTTAGGGCCAGATGCAGCCTGGGGAGGACAGGACCATGGACAGGGGCTATTGGGCTACATTTGCCATTATATCCAGACTGCCCTCTCAACTAGGGAAATGGAGACTTTTCAAAGTGTGAATCAGGGTTTGACTTTTATTCTTAAATGGGAGTGCTGTTGAGTACATTAGAATCAATCGATCAACAAGTATTTATAAATGCCAAGTACTATTCTAGTCACTGAGAGTCCCAAACTGGGTCTCCTCACTCAAGGCTGGACCAGTTCTGCTTGGCTCCAGAGGACAAAGAATGGGTGGAAGTTGTAGGTAAACTTAAGTTCTAGGTAAGGAAAAGCTTCCACATAGTGAGAGTGATCTCCCCAATGGAATGGGCTAAATTGGAAAGGAGTGAGTTCTCTTTCACTAGAGATCTTCAGTGGAGGTGGGATGGCTACTTGTTAGAAATGTTGTAGAGAGAATTCCTATTCAGATATGGTTTGGACAAAGGTCCTTTCCAACTTTGCCATTATATGATCTTCCTGATGCAGTACAGTGGGTGGCTTGTGGAAGGTGGGAAGCTTATGGATCCATATAATGGAGATTTGGGTCTTTTTTTTCCTCTACAAATATGGCTTTGATGTTCTACCCAACAACTATCGCCTGGAAGGTGGGAAGGACAAAGGTTTCCTGCCTTCAAGAGAAGGAAAAAGAGATGATGATGGCAACAATGGAAGAAATAAGCTTCAAGCCGAAGAATCCCAGTTTTCAGATATAAAGGATTCAGGGAAACTCATAAAAGAAGGGAAACCAGGGGATTGGAGTTACCTGGGAATCGAGGATGATGGTCTCCTCTGTGGTCACATCACAGGTGGTCCCAGGGGACATAATGATTCCCCCATGGACAAAGAAGGAATTTCTGACCTAGCCTGGGACTTGAATAAGGGAACGGAGAGTCAGAAGGGATTTTACAAAGCAGAGGGAAATAGAGACAAATATATTGAAGGAAACCAGTTCTCTAGAGTTGATGGTCAGGGTAAAAGCTTCCTGGGGAGATATGGGCTTCAGGGAGATGGTTGGGAAACTGGAATGGACCTCATGATGGGACAACAGCAAGGCAATGGTCGAGATAAGGGTGAAGCCAGACAATGGGAGGCAGGAGAGAGTTGGGAGGCAGGTTCTGGAGGTCTTCAGGGCAGAAGATGGGGAAGTAACTTGGAAGGAAAGGAGGCTAGAGGGGACAGTGGAGGGCAGCTGGGAAATTATAGCCAGGAGGGGCTTGGAACAGGAGAGAGGAGCTTGTCTACTTCTCAGACCACTCCAGCAGGGTCTTGGAAAAAAGGAATGAAACTGGCAATGAGTTCAGAGGCTAATGATAATTTGGAGTTGGAGTGTAGGGATGACTCTAGCTCTAAAAGGGGACAGTGTAAGTCTCCCTGGTTTGGAGAGGCAGGGGAGAAACATAATCAGGGGACTGGCCAAGGTGGTGATAGTGGTGGGGCTGGAGGTCCTGAGGCATGGGAATCTCTAGGTTGGGGTAAAGGCAATGGTGACAAATTAAGGGACTTCCAGGCTCAGAGATTGTCTCACGGCAAGAAATCTTTCCTAGGACAAAAGGGTTTGGGGGAGGAAGCTGATGGGTCACTAGAAGAAGCAAGTTATGAGTCTAGCTCAGGGGAGCAAGAGTCTCTTGGGAAGGAATCCACTTTTAGGAGAACAGGATTTAAAGCTGGTCCTTGGACCTCAGGGTCTGATGGAGATGAAGGAATGGGGGACATTGCAGGGGGCTTGCTGGAACTTAAAGAAAGAGGATTGGGTTCTAGACATAGTCAGGGGACAGCAAAGTCCCTGGTTGGGGGGTCATTGGGAGAAAGCTCCAAAGAATTGGGGTATCTCCAGGACTGGCCAGCAAGCCAAAGGGGATCAGGGTATGGAGATGACGTAGTCGAGTCTGAAGGCATGATGAGCTCCTGGGATGACAAAAGTTTTAACCTTAGAAAAATTGGATCTAAAGATGGCCTAGGGCCCTTGAGAATAATGGGGTCTGGGCAAAGGGGAAGGGAGGAAGTTGGTGCTAAAGTAGATGAATCAATGGGGTCTAAGAGTGGGGTAGACTATGGGGATGGGCCCAGAGACCACAGGTTAAAAGGTAGAGCTGCTTATGAAGATGACTTAGGAGACCTGGGAACTCAGGGGTATGGAAGTGAGAGAGATAATAGGGATGGTTTAACAGGTTCAGAGAGAATGAGGTCTAATTATGGAGCCAGTTTAAAAGATGTCTCCAGGGACAGAAGGATGGAAGGGCCTGGTAGTGAGGGTGGTTATACAGGTGGCTTAGAGGGTCCTGGGGGAATGGAACCAGGAAGTATGGAAAATAATAGGTATCATTTAGGGAGTCCTAGGAGAATAGGAGCAGGGAGTGAAGGAAATTTCAGGGGTGATTTAGAAGGTTATGGGAATGACTTTGGGGATTCTGGAAGAATAGGATTAGGGAAGGAGGGAGATTATAGGATTGGTTTAGGGGGTTCTGGGGGAATAGGGTCGGTGGGTGAGGGGAGTTATAAGGGTAGGTTAGAAGATCCTGGGATTTGGGAGTCATGGAGTGAGGGAGGTTATGGAGGTGACTCAGAGGGTCTGGTGGGAATGGGATCAGGGGGTGAGGGAGGCTATAGAAGTAGCTCAGGAGGTCCTGGGGAAATGTGGTCAAGAGGTAAGGAAGGTTATGGAGATAGTTTAGGGCATCCTGGAGGAAGGGGGTCAAAGGGTGAGGGAGATTATTGGGGTGGCTTAGAGGGTCCTAGGGGAATAGGGTCAGGGAGTATGGGAGGCCATGAGAGTAGTTTAAGGGGTCCTGAAGGAACTGGGCCAAGGGTTGAAGGAGGATATAGGGGTAGCTTAGAGGATCCTAGGAGAATGGGGTCAGAGGGTAATAGAATTTATGAAAGTAGCTTAGGAAATTCTGGAAGAATAAGGTCAGAGGTTGAGAGAGACTATGGAGGTGGTTCAGAGCATCCTGGGGCAATAAGGTCAGGGGAGAAGGGAGGCTATGGGGATAGTTTAGGGGGTCCTGGGGGAATAGGG